GTAAAATAACGAAAAAAGTCAACAGTTTTATGCGATGGTTCTTTTCAGGTTCCTGGCTATACTTATATATATAATATAAGATAAGATATGTATATCAGGTCATCCCATAAGTTCTGTCCGAATTTTAACTTTTTGTTAAAAGGAACGAAATTTAAAGAGTATTTTATAATGTCTAATGGAGCTGAACATTATTTTTATGTTTAGATGCATTTAAACTGATAAAATTTTATTTCAGAGAATAATAAAATTAAATTTTGTTTGATTAAAACCCTGCTAAAATGAAAGTACCCAAGAATCATTTGAGGCACATAATGCTTTATGAGTTCAAGAAAGGAAACTCGGCAGCCAAAGCGGCTAGAAATATTCACTCAGTTTATGAATGTGTGAATGAAAGAACTTGCAGAAGATGGTTTGCAAAATTCTGAGGTGGAGATTTCACCCTTGAAGATGAAGATCGAACCGGACGTCCAGTTGAGTTTGATGAAAAGCTTCTTGAAGAAGCCTTTGAAGAAAATCCTGCTTTATCAGTTGAGGAATTTGCAGTGGTTCTCAGTTCAAACCATACAACTGTTCATCGTCATCTTCAACAACTTGCAAAAGTTCCTAAACTTGGAAAATTAATTGTCCGAAAAACAACCTCAAATCCCGAGTTGACATCTGCTCTTCTATCCATTCTCACCAACTTTTTCACCTTTTTTGGATAAACTTGTGACTGGCGATGAAAAATGGTTCTTTTTTCGAAATGTTAAGCGTCGTAAACTGGCTTGGTAAAGGGGAATGACCCCAGCCACAGCCGAGAAGGGAACTTCATGGGCAAAAGGTTCTTCTTTCAATCTGAAGGGATCACCAAGGAATAATCCACTTTGAATTCTTACCACCTAATGCAACAATTAATGTTCAAATATATTGTCAGCAATTAGATCGTTTGAACCAAGCTTTGAGGAGAAAAGACCTGCTCTAGTGAATCGAAAAGAGGTGATGTTTCATCAGGACAATGCGCGACCCCACACAGCAAGAATCACGTCACAAAAGATCGAAGAACTTGGTTGGTAGAAAATTCCTCATCCACCTTATTCTCCCGATCTTGCTCCTTCAGACTAACATTTGTTTCGTAGCTTACAGGATCATTTGGAAGAAACAACTTTTGTAACACAGGATGAGGTTAAAACTGACATCAAAGCCAAAAGAATTTTATAGTAATGGAATTTTATAGTAATGGAATTTTATAGTAATGGAAGCTTGTTAATAGATGGAAGGAAGTCATAGATAATCAGGGAAAATACATTGTTGATTGAATCTGTAATTAAATGTAACATTTGGTCACTTGTTTTCTTTATTCAAAATTCGGACAGAACTTATGGGATGACCTGATATTTATAGCCATCATATATATATATAAAGGTATGAATCCACTTCTTCCTCCAGCTATGGGTAAATTGCACGACAAACTGGATTCTATAGCCTTGGATGGCAACTAATCTTTAGAAGGACAACAAAATTCAAAAAATTGCGGAGGGTTTCGTTTGAGAACCTTGTTTATTGAGTGCACCAGGTCTCTGTATACAGCCCTTCAAAAAGTGTGGTTGGTTCTACACAAAATCTTCACCACGATAATCAAATCTCATGTGCAGGTGATGGGCTGTCGGTGCCTAGGAACTGATCTGTTTGACCCTCATTTGTCGAATTCGACGGGAGAGTCTATATACATATGGTAATATATACATACTATATATTATAAGTAAAAAGATACATTCCCCAAATATTCAAAACTCTGCCCTTCTGCTGAGCCTCGTCCGGGTTCGTCTCTGTTCAGAGGCAGAGAGTTCGACCGTCTAGCCGAAAAGATTTCAGCTAGAATATTTAGCCACCGCCGCCGCGATGGTTTCATGTGGCTATCCGAGCCCGTAGGCTTGGTCAAAAAATGCCCGTAGAAACCGCATAAACGGGATCGGGTTGGTCAACCTCCCCGAACGAGACTCTGCCTTTCGGCCGAGCCTCGTCCGTGTTCCTCTCTGTTCACAGGCAGAGACTTCGACCGTCTATCCGAAAAGATTTCGGACAGACTCTGTAGTCCGATGATTTACAGTTACTTATAGATAGTTACTACCTATAATGCAGTCGTTCATGGGGGTGACAGTTTATTCCATTACATCACAGGGATAAGAGTTTTGGGCCTTTTCTTCTTAAAATTCAAAAGTCAGTATACCGTGAAGACAGCTGGAAATTTCCTATTCTAAGACTGAGGTAAAATACTAATTATTACATAGAATTAAAGGCATATTAATTCTATTAGAATATCCCACTCTTGGAAATAGTGTAATATAATGTATATAGAATAAATGACATGAATATTAGACTTCAATGCATTTCCCGAACACGATTGGGATTTCACTCGTGATGAAGTACAATATTTCCAATTTTGATTTTCAAGTAAGCAAGACTAACTCATTCGCTACTTTTTCATCTTCTATCATATTCAAATAAAATAAAATAAACTAAAGTAAAATAAAAGTAAAATTTTGTAAATATCTATAACAAAAGATATATGTATAACAATAATAAAGCTTTAAATAAATCTGTAAATATCTAATACATATGTGTGTGTGTGTGTGTGTGTGTGTGTGTGTGTAACAGCAATCAGCTAAGTCACAATTTTTGTTTGTATTAATTAAATATATATATATATATATATATATATATATATATGTGTGTGTGTGTGTGTGTGTGTGTGTGTGTGTGTGTGTGTGTGTGTGTGTGTGTTACAACGAGAGAACAACATTTTTATATTTTTATTTTGGTTTATAATGTCGATTTTTTTTTTTAATATATATTATATTAAATATTTTCATTTTTTTGGCATATACGGGTTTTTTTTTATCACGACCTTCATCAGTCAAAAGTGGTTATTTCCACATATTATTAAAAAGAATGAATTTTCCTTATGAAAAGAACGATATTTAAACATTCTCTTTGCCGTAGCTTTAATCTAAATAACACTGAGGACAACACCGAGCGGCAACAGTCATCGCGCAGTGTTTAAACTATTTTTTATATTTTACACATGCTTTATCCCTGATACTGAGCAATTTTACCTATAACTATAACATATCTTGAAATTATATTTTTATATATTTTATATATATATATATATATATATATATATATATATATGTGTGTGTGTGTGTGTGTGTGTGTGTGTGTGTGTGTGTGTGTGGAGAGAGAGAGAGATATTATATGTTTCAAATTTATAACATATACATGTTATAAAATCACTACAAAAGTTACAATGTTGTTTTAACAATGGTGGTGTCTTTATCAATATTCTATATATATATATATATATATATATATATATATATATATGTTATATAGATCTCACACACACATATATATATATATATATATGTGTGTGTGTGTGTGTGTGTGTGTGAAAAGAGAGAACTTATGACATATATGTGCTGGAAATTTAAATAAATAATCTACTTAGTATTGAGCACTCTTTTTTAACAATAGTGTTTTTTTTTTTTTTGCTTATTGAATTTTATTTGCATGTGTACCAACCCTTTAATTTATATATATATATATATATATATATATATATATATATATATATATATAAAAAACTTTTTTAATGAGACAGTGTTGATATTTTTCTGCTATTTTCACCCAACGCAGGGCCAAAGAGGCACTCAAGAGAGAGAATTACTGAATTGTGGTTGGGGTGCATAAAGGCGCATATTATGAGGATATATAAGCGAGTCACAGTTGGCTCTAGGCTTAAGGAGATTAAGACGATATTGATCAGGGAAAGTATCCTTTCAAGACTCTGTTCTACAATGAAACAGTTCTAGGAAGAAGCTGTCAGTGGAAGTGTTCCTTACAAATGAAATACGAAAATAATGAGGATGAGTCGACTCGATGTTGGATTATACCTGAACTGGTGGAACTGAACATTTGCCATGGAGATAGCGATAGAGTAACGAGAGGCTAGCAACGTTTCGCATGTGGGAAAAGGGGTTGTAAGATGGAAAATAACCCGTCATCAACATAGGAATCAGCAGAGCCTAAGACTATTATTTCAATACCATTTAGGATCTTGATTGTGTTTGCTTTTGTTCAGTCCGATATTCGTATTGTCTATATCTGTAAATGCTCCAATATTGGCCACTCTTCCCTTATAAATACCGTAAATTTTAAACATTATGCATACACGCAGAAACTTATGTACGTAAAAAGAAGTGTGTATATATATATATATATATATATATATATATATATATATATATATATATATATATATATTATATAACATTAACAAAATTTAAAAAAAGATTTTTTATCTAAAATGTTCAGTGTAGAATATTTCATGAATGTAATTAACATTTACCACAAAATTACGTGCGTTGATTAAGAAGGAAATTATGTTGAAAATAAATAAATACATCGTTTCATTATAAGACAACGAGCAGAGTGAGGTATCTCCATATAAACTAAAATCAAAACCAATTATAGAGATGAAGAACTAATTAATACCAAAACTTGCTAGTCTATTCAATAGAACTCTGTAATATGCACGCACACACACACATACATATATATATATATATATTTTGTTTTGTATGTGTGTATTGATAAATATATATATATATATATATATATATATATATATATATATATATATATATATATATATATATATACATACATTATACAAATATACACATACATATATATGTATATATTATATTTTTTTGTGTGTGTGAAAATACATGTAGAATTGTAAAATGACATATATATTTTCTATCCTTTTTATTCTCATGAACGGTATTCTTAACTTTTTATTCTTATTTTATGTCTTAATTACAATTGACGCACACACACACACACACACAAACACACACACACACACACACACGCACATATATATATATATATATATATATATATATATATATATATATATATATAAACTGTGTGTGCGTGTCTCTTTTAATTTCTACTTGTTTTATGTCGTCATAGAAGAAAAATTTTCCTTCCAAAATATTTATAGATAGCCATGTAAGAACAGATAGATAGATAGATAGATAGATAGATAGATAGATAGATAGATAGATAGATATCAGGTAGATGTTCATTTTATACTAAACGAATATTATATGTGTATATCTTAGTATCTTAGCACGAATCCTAATGAGAGACATGTAGGAAAATTCAATATTTCAAGTGCTGAATGTCTGCTGACCTTCAAAATCAGCCTTCGAAATACTTGTTTTTTTTTATGCTCGAATATTCTACAATTGAATGGTTGAAATGTTATCTCTTCCTGTTCAAAGTCAATTTATTACAATAAATATACCGTTAATAAATACCTGAACAAATTTTAACTACACGAGGTAAAAAAGAAAAAGAAAATGAAAATTATGAATTGAAATTAACCTCAAATGGATCATAAAATATTATTTCATGTTTCTAAATCCTTGTGGGATCAGCCTTCACACCGACGACATATGCAATTAACAGCAGCTCGGAGTTGGCACAACGTTCTACTGCCATCTTTAAAAGACCCAGTATGTTTTCCCAGCGTTGTGATTATTTATTTATTTATTTTTAATTTGTGATTCAGGTAAATGTATTATTAGATATTGTTACCTTAAAACGTTAAAAATATTACAATAACTGTCAAACAAGGAATTTGAAAGCAAGAAAAAATTAGGTGGGCGGTTATCAAGTAAAAGCTAAAATTTATATATGATTACAACTGAAGAATTTCTGTGACTCTTGTACCTAACTTTATAAGACAGTTGAGTTTTATTTGTCAAACCACAGATTTTAATTTCTTCATTTTTATACGTATTAATTTGTTATAAAATATACATTGGGGATATCTAAAAATTGAGAAGAAAATAACAAGAGAAAAGATTTTTAAAAATCAGAAAGAAAAGAAAGAAAAAAGAAAAGAACTCTCCCTCGATCGAAGGGAGCATTTATTATGTCAGACTGTCATACCCGTATCAAAATGAATGTTTACGTAATCGTTTCTTATATTAATTTATTATTTATTGGTTTCTATCTTTATTTATTGATTTCTTGAAGTTAATTTCGAAATAAGTTCTACTTTTTCGATGAAGATATTATTTTGTCATAAGCGATGCTAAAAAGCAATCTTACGACAGCCGAAAATCAGTCGTCGTGACGTAACGGCCAGACGTTTAATGCCCAAGTCCGGCACTTGCGTCGTCAATTTCCGTCATTTTCCGGAAATCCACCGAAAACCGATATTTATTTCAAAATTCGCACATGTCTACGAGAGGCAAAGCCCGATAGTTTGTGACATACATATAAATGTACGTATGAGATAGGTATATACTTACACAATCAAGTTGATATGAGGTCGAGGGAGGTTTTTTTTTCCCAAATTTGCCGGCAGACGTGAAGGTTAAAAATAAGTTGTATTAATTTTCGTTTCGTAGTTTTAAAGATATTAAGATATGAAAAGTGTACTGAGCATGAAATGGACAATTATTCTATGGAAAATACCAACTTACTTGATGGATTTATTTGGCTGGTTTTATACATTGTAGAGTTTTCGTAAGGACACAAACGAATATATATTATATATGCATGGATATATTTAGAATAAGATAGATAGATAGATAGATAGATAGATAGATAGATAGATAGATAGATAGATAGATAGATAGATAGATAGATAGATAGATGAAAAACAGTTTGAGATATTACCAGTGTGCGATAGATAGATAGATAGATAGATAGATAGATAGATAGATAGATAGATAGATAGATAGATAGATAGATAGATGAAAAACTGAGAGATTAGCTGTTTGAGATAGATAGATAGATAGATAGATAGATAGATAGATAGATAGATAGATAGATAGATAGACAAAGACTCAGAAAAATATGTATCTTCCTATAAGTTAAAGCGAACAAATATTTTACTGGGCAGCATTTTTTTTCCAATTTTCAGATTTCAATTGATGGCATCATTTTATCTTTTTATTCTTTAATCGGTCGATTTTAGGCACCCATATATTCCTCATATATATTTTTGTGATTATGAAAACATTCACTTATCACTCTGTGTGCATAAGATTGCATATGTCGTGGCTGAGACTACAATTTATGCAACTGATGTATTTAAAGGGGAATTTTTGCTCACACGCTCATCCCTACTCTGACAGCTTTAACAAGATGTTGGCATGACAGTAACGAAACCTCTTTTAATATTTGGCGATAAACAGCCTGTAGGAAGCAATAAACAAATGCCTTCTAGAAAGGCATTCATATATTTCTACAAATAATTTGTATGCATGTTTCATTAAAAGTATTCATAGAAATACACTTTTTAAATCTTGCAGAGATATATCATTAATTGTAGATGTATATACAAACATATATATACTATTCTAAAGTATCTCTAAAAAAAGAGATACCTAAAGTTTAAAATGCATTTTAAAAATGACAAATCTTTCTTGATGTTTTCATTTTAGTTTTAATTCAAAGCTAATGGATTAACTTTAATATATCCAATAAGAAAAACACTTAATTGTATTTCAAACCGAATTTTAAATGGTTAAAATGTTTTGTTTTGTTTTTTTAAATTGCTATAATCACTATAATCAGCAATATTACTAAATCTGTAAACACAACATCTCATCATTAAAAATCTTTCAATAATAACATATATTTTTCTGAAACTTTATTTGAAGAAAATTTAATGAATTAAAGATTATTTAATCTGAATTAAAACAAATTACTTATTTTTAGTTTAAAATATAGCAGAAAGGCATTTTTTTTCAACAAGGAATAGGGTGTTTTTATGCAGTGGTGAAAGATTTATCGATAACTTAATGTTTGACATTTTTTAGTAAGGGGCCCATAACTGGATAAATTACGTGACGAATACAACGCGAACGCCTTCTTTTTTATAGGACTTTTAATAATTTTTAACTACCCAGAAATCTTTAAAATTTATGATAATATTATAAGTATTCTAGTATTTTATTGAATCTTAGGTACTTTGGTTTTATAGTCATATTTGCGATGACACTTTCGGAAATGTTAGAAAATTACCAATAAATTTTAAATTTACTATAGTTACCGCTCTTATTTTCTGATAATGACGTGTATGAGATATCCATATTTACAAAATTCGGCAAATTTATGCACACACGCAAAAAAATCATTTAAAATTCTGTTGAAAATATTGAGGGCTGATGAATTTGTACTAGGCTTTTCCATTTATAATTAGTAAATGACATTTTTACTTAATAACGATATCACCTTACCAGCTACAAATTAATACAAATTTTTAAAAGATTTAAAACTTTATAAATTATTCAAATTTTAAAAAAATGAAAACAATTCTTGCAAAAAATACATTATTCATCGAAAAAAATTTCTTTCTTCAGAAAATAGTATTTTATTCTAAAAAGCAATTAAAAGTTTTTCTAATTAAATAATGTCTTAGTTTCTATTTTACGAAACAATATAGATATTCTGAAAATTGGGCTCTTGCTTGACAAAAAAAAGAAAAAAAAAGAAAAAAGTAGATGATTTAAATTTTAAATCCTCCGAGGATATGACTTTCTAACAAATATAAGCATTAAGCTAAAGAAAATAAATTTCATGAAATTTCATAAAATTAAATACGCGATAGAAACAAATGTAAAAAAAATATTTTACCAAGATTTTCTAAAAAAAAAACAAAAAAAAAAAACACAGAGAGGATTCAAAATAATTTAAATCGTTTGTGAATAAGTCCTGAAAGTTTCATTAAAATCCGAAAAATATCTAATTTTTGCAAGAATTCCCAAATCAATTTAATTTTCACCGCAAAAAGATAAATAAAATATCCCCAGAAAATTTATGTAATAGTTTCTAGTCGAACGTTTACGTAAAAAAAGAATTATAATTTAACCAAAATATTGAAGGTTTACTAAAAAATTGAAAAAAATTATAATGTAATTATAATCAGAAAAAATTATAATGTAATAGTAAAAATTATAATGTAATAGTGAGATAGTCATTTGTTATAATGTAATAGTCAATAGTCAGAAAATTATAATGTAATAGTCAGAAAATTATAATGTAATAGTCAGAAAATTATAATGTAATAGTGATAATGAAAATTATAATGTAATAATGAGAAAATTATAATGTATAATGTAATAGTAGTCAGAAAATTATAATGTAATAGTCAGAAAATTATAATGTAATAGTCAGAAAATTATAATGTAATAGTCAGAAAATTATAATGTAATAGTCAGAAAATTATAATGTAATAGTCAGAAAATTATAATGTAATAGTCAGAAAATTATAATGTAATAGTCAGAAAATTATAATGTAATAGTCAGAAAATTAATGTAATGTAAAATTATAATGTCAGAAAATTATAATGTTTGTGTCCTATTATAATAGAAGAATTATAAATAAAAATTTGTAATGCTAAAAAATTTGTAATAGTCATCATGCATAATGTTCATTTTTATCAGAAATTGTTTGTGTCCTTATATACATATATAAATTTTACAAACATAAATATAAACAATAAAACATAAATACATACATACATACATAGATACAAATATACATACACTCACACACACATATATATATATGCGAATGTGTGTGTGTATTTGTGTGTCTGTGTGTGAACGGGATTAAATATTGTTATTTTAATTTATTTTATTTGAACATTTTCTTTTTAATGGATACTCATATTCGAGTAGAAGTTTTGTTTTTTAATTTTTAAAATTAAACATTATATATATATATATATATATATATATATATATATATATATAATATAATAAAATATGTAAAATAGAACGCTCCATTTAACAGTCTAAATACATTCAAATTTTTTCACGGTTGAAGTTTCGTTATAATAATAATAATAATATTCTATCTATGTATCTATCTATCTATCTATTGACACACACACACACACATATATATATATATATATATATATATATATATATATATATATATATGTAAAAAGAAGATTACTTTGGAGCCAATGCCAAACTGAAGCATGAAACAGATTGTCGCCCTTGGTGTTAAACTCCGTGTCCTCGTTTGTATATATATATATATATATATATATAT